GGCGTGGGGCTGGAGACCCCGTTTTGGCCGTGTTTTAGGTCTGTTCTCTGTTGGCGCTGCGCGAGCCTTGTGTTCAGGCGGGCTGCGGCGGCTGGCTGGGGGCTTTGTTTAATTCAATTTAATTTAATCCGAGCCGATTAATCTTCCTACGTGTTTGAAATGAAAGGCTTTTTCTCTGAGGGGGGCCTCCCCGGGTGTGCGGAGGGAAGGGGTCCAGGGCCGTGAGCTTTCGGCACGGGGCAGTAGGATGTGGTTTGTTGTGTGGTCAGAGGGAAGGGAAAGGGCATTTCTTTGAGCTGTGCGGCAGTTGCTGCTTCCCCGTCCTCTCTCGTTCCCCTGTGCCCTGGGGAGCAGATGCTGCACTGTGTCTAGAAATGGGTGAGTTATAACAATGTTACAGAGGTCACTTATACAATAAAAAGTTAAAAAAAATAGGATTTGTTTAAATTTTTTTCCTAATTGAACCAGTGTTGGTAATTGACTTAGCAGTCAAAGCCTGAAAAATATTAACCTTCTGTCTTTTTAGTTCTGACTCGTTCTGCATTTGTTGCAAGAAAACCTAATTATGACCATCCAAACTGGTTTGGCGTTGGCTTGGCTTTTAGCACCACTGCTGCCCTGTGGGTTCTAGTAAGTGTCTGTTTTTTGTTTTTAAAACTAAACTTAACTATTCCCAGATGGTAGTGATTTGAAGGCAAGATTAAAATGTGATTGCGTGTGTTCTGTAACAGGTGTCGGATTGAAGCAGGTATGTTGACTAGTTACATTTCCCCAAGTCTGTTTTGATTTTCTTTATAAAATTGAACAACTTACTAAGCTCCTCTCTGTTGCAGACTTCAAAAGAGCCGCTGTCTAAGAATTAATTCCTGTAGTCCCTTTGGCTTTAGGAATGTTTTTTTTCCCCAGCTGATCTTAAAAATGAGCAGCAAAAAAAACCACACGCAGGAAGACTTAAGCATATGCTAGCGATCATATGCCTTAGTAAAGCTGTGTTTATTGGATTTTTGTCTTGTTTTCAGCTGTATTCTGTTGATTAAAAACCCATTTTCTTGAGCAAAAGGCAGATACAAGATGCTCCCTGTTTCAGAGAACTCATAGGCTTGATAAAGCAAACAGGATGTAGTAGCTCCCATGGGGAAATATTATGCAGGATAAGCAGCAGTTATAGGACCAAATTAGTTTCCAGTGTGGAGTGGTTTCCCTTTCCCCCCCCCCCCCCTCTTCCCTCCCCCTTTTTTTTTTGTGGTTTCTTGCTTGCTCGCTCGCTCTCTCTCTTTTATTTATTTTTTTTATTATGATCGGTCAATAGCCAGCATAAAACGGTCCTGAGTGAGGCGTGGAAAAAATGCCTTACTGGACAGTTATAAGATAACTTACTCTTTATTGTCCTGATTACTGATAATTACCTTTTGGCTTACATTCTGACTCCAGGAATTTTATATTCTGTAGAACTTGTTTTGCACTCTGGTTCTAGCTATGTACTCTATAGCTCTTCAACATATGTTGTTATTTAATAGCTTTTCAAGCAGCATAATGAAGATGTAATGGAATATGAAAGAAGACAAAAGGAGAGACAACAGAAATGTACAGGATGTTCATAGTAAGTATGCCATTATAGATGCTACAGAAACAAAAATTCTACAGATCTGACTTCTGTTAACAAGGGAAGAGGAAAGTCAGTTCTCAAAACCTTCATTGTTGTTTTCTTTAATACTGTACCTCTCAGCTTTTTGCTGTTCTGCTAACTCATTCCCGATTCTAAAGAAGTACGGTTCTTATGCTGCTTTATAAGATGACTGATTTATATGTTATACATTATATCCATTTGCGTGCATATTCACTCCCAGCTTTCCATCTTGGATGCTAAGACTTTCTGAACATGTAGCGTATCTTCTACAGTGTCTAAAATAAAATTAGGGTCCTGAAGAGAATGCCTTGTAAGTGCCTTAATGGCAAAGGAGATCAAAGTCTCTTAAAAATAGTCAGTCTCTCTTTCTCCCTCTTTCATTTGCCTTTATTTTTTTTAACTGGTCAGTGGAAAACATTTTCCTCAGTTACACTTATATATAAAACACATAAGAATGACATAAAGTCAGTGCCTGTAGACTTGTATTATAATACAAGTCTGATCAGGTTATTTTCCTTCTCACTGTAAGAAACAATTGGTTTTTTGCCAGCTAAAAGTTCTGTTGAGGATTATGGCCTCAGAGCAATTAATATGCCACTTTAAAGAAACACTTTACCACAGCACTATGGATTTTTCTGTATTAGTTTATTGCCACCATAAATATTCCTGGTAAAAATTCAAACATAAAAGTATGTATTTATAGTCACTAAATATGTGTTCCATATTTATGTTATAAATAACTGCTCTAATATGTTGTGAGACCTTTCTAACCAACTTCATTGTGTATTTTATTTTCCTTGTTGCTGATGATCTTTTTTCTTTCTTAGGTTGAACATACACTGTAAGAAGTAACAGGATCAGTTGTTTTACAAATAAACAAGCATAACACAAGTATGAAGTATCTGAATATTTATCTGTTCATACATTTCATACAATTGTGAAATAAATGGTAAAAACTCTGGAAGGAACTTGTGAGACTATTTGCTTGCCCTGTTTATTTCAATCTTCAAGTCTTCATAAGGTGTTTTCATATGGCATTCAATTGTTTTATAGTTAGTTTTTCCAAAATTACTTTCGAAACTCTTTGTTATTCTGGAGGGTATGTTACAGAATGCAGTTAAGTTAGACACGAGTTCAGAAGACGTTCACAAATATTGTAGAAGTCCTTAAGTGTACCCTCTCCCGTCCATAATTTTTAGTTGCTGAATTTATGAAATAAACCATAGATATAAAAAAACTAACAGAATTGTAATCTGTATAGTTGCCAGAATGTGCATTTACTGCTTCACACATCAAAGAAGAAACTTTCAACTCAGTCTTGACTAGATTGTCAAAGCTTGAGCTAGTGACTTAAGCTGACATAATTCAAATTACATATCTGCTTGCAAGCCTGATGTGGTTCCTGGGGTACTATTGTCCTTCAGTTCTTTGTGCTCTGGATTAATTTTTCCTCGAGCAGAAATAAAGCTTCTTTGTCAGAGATGAACAGAGAGAACACAGAATTCAGAGGCTGGTTATCTCTGACTTTTATTCTAATTATTTTTTTCTTGCCCTTCCGTTCTTCTCCCCCTGCCCCCCCCCAGGTTTGCTTTGCTTTTGCTGCTGCATGCAAACTTGAAGCATTTTCTGTGGTTTCAGAAGGTAGGATGGAGGCTTGATGCAGGGCCCTGCACAGGGACAGCGTGTGTGCCGTGGGGAAGGGAGAGGCAGGGGTAAGCTTAGCCAGAGGAGATGCTGCCCTTTGCGTAGCTGCACATTGGGAAGGGCTCCCTGCTCTGAAATACCTCAGTGACTTCAGCCGCGAGACCCAAGGGCCAATGTCAGTCATCTAACGTCATGTTCCTCCTGCCTCCTCCTGAGCAGTGCTGCTTTCAGCTCCTCCTCGGCAGAATGGATCAAGGTCAATCAAGGGCAAAGAATAGTGAAAGAGGATAGCAAAAAGCAGGAAGCGGCGTTAAGGGATCAGCTCAGTGAAGGATCCTCAAAGCTACCTATAGAGAAAGGACAAGTATTAGGGGGCCAACTGTCTAATTGTGTGGGAGAGGAGAAAAGCTGCTGCACAACTTTGATCCTGAAATGCTGCTTGCTGTGACTTTGACAGCTAATGTGATCTGACCACTTTGACTAACTTCCTCTAGTGTTTTACCTCCCTAATGATTAACTTTTTTTTCCACTCATGTTTAACCTCAATGACCATTGCTGTAGACTGACGACTTCTGATCTTCTTCCAGGAATGTTTGGAGAAGAAACAGTTTTCAAGAGCTTTTTTATTTTAGTAAGGCAGTAATTATGTTCCTCATTGTCTTCCCCTCCCCGATAACTACTCTTCCTTGAGTCTTTCCTAGTATTTTGGGTTAATTTTTAATAACTCCTCCTATTCCATTCTCTATGAGCGTTCACTGCCCAAAGCTACGTTTAGTTTTTAAGGAGTTTCATCAGCGCTAAGTGGAAGAGCGATTTAGGGAAAAACGCACGGCA